GGAGAGAGGCCTCCAGGACCTTGGGTGACGCAACTGTGAGAAAATTAATTTCTGTTGTTTATACCATCCAAACTGCAGTATTTCATTGTGGCAGTGCTAACAAAGTAATATAAATTTTTGGTATGCGTTTGTGATATATCCGTATCAGTGCTCCCAGATCCACATTTCATCGAATTATCACAATTTCTTTAAACCCTGCCCCATCGGTTGACATTTACATTGCCTCCAGATTTTTTACTAATTCACACCAAAGCTGCAGTGAATATCCTTGCACTGTCTTGGCATAATTTTGTAAGCATATCTATAAAGTAAATTTCCAGAAGTTGAATTGCTGGCTCAAAGTATAAATGCACACAGACTTAATTTCGACAGTTATTGTCAACTTGCCTTTCAAAAGTTTCCACTTCCACCCAAGGTGTATAAAGATGTCATTTCCCCCACCCTCTTGCCAGCATTAGATATATCAAGGTTTTAAATTTGTATCAATCCAATGGTTAAAGATTAGTGTATTGTTCTGTTTGTACCTATGAATGAGTCTAAGCATCTTAAAGAGTTGTCAAGAGCACAGACTCAGGGGCACCTAGGTGGCTCAGTCGGTTATGCGTCTGCCTTCGGTTCGGGTCATGATCCCAGGGGCTTGGGATTGAGCCCCCTGTCGGGCTCCCTGCTCAGTAGGGAGCCTGCTTCTTCCTCTCCCTCTGCCATTCCTCCCCCGCCCCCCCCCCCCCGCATTTGTACTCTCTGGCTCTCTCTCTCCGTGTCAAATAAATAAATAAAATCTTAAAAAAACAAAAAAGAGCATAGGTTCAGAGGCCAGATCTTGAGCTTGAGTTCTGGGGTGCTGCCATTTCTAGCTGTGTGACCCTGGCCACATTGCCTGACCTCTCTGTGCATTAGGCTCCTCTTCTGTCAGACAAGATAACCATGGAACCTACCTCGCCAATGAGGTCTTACAAGAATACCATGAGTGAAGGAACGCCAAATGCTTAGAACAACATTTAGGATACAGTAATTTCCACATTAACGTTAGCTATCATTAATGTTGTTGAAAGCATAAGAATGCGGGTATCCTGATTATTTGCATTACTGTTTTTGTGAATGTCCTGTGTTATGGACTGAATGATTGCATCCCCCCAGAATTCATATGTTGAAGCACTAACCCCCCAATGTGGCTGAATTTGAGCTGAGGCCTCTAAGGAAATAATTAAGGTTAAATGAGGTCATAAGGGTGGAGCCCTAATCCAATAGGATTAGTGTCCTCATAAGAGAGACTAGAAAGATAGCTCACTCTCTCTCCCTGCACTCAAGCAAAGAAGAGGTCATATGAGCACACAGGGAGGTGGTAACCACCTACAAGCCAAGAGAAGAGTTAAACCAACCCTGCTGGCACCTCGATCTTGGACTTCCCAGCCTCCTGAACTGTGAGCCATAAATTTCTGTTGTTTCAGCCACCAAGCTCGTGGTGTTTTGTTATGACAGCCCTAGCAAGTGATTATACCCTATTCACATCTTCTCTTCATCTTTCTATCCAATTAGTCTTTTCTAATTGTTTCTATGAATTCCACTCATCTACGCCATCTTCACTGGATTTATAAGGACAGACGTGCCGACCAAAGACTCTGAGGATGTGTGGTATCGGCTTCTATGTGGATCTCCCAACCAGGAGCTGAGCTAGATGCAGCAGAGAAGGACCTGCTGAATGGCGATCAGGAAGTGCTTGAGGTAAAACTTTAAGGCTAACCAGTCTAGATTTAAGGATGTATTGTGTAAAGTCTGGTCCTCAACACCAGCGCGAGTATGACATTCCACCATCTCCTCCAAACACTAAGGACGAACACCAGGGCACCTTCCCTTGACTTTGAATTTTTTTTATACATCTCCAGTAAAGAAAACTATGGAGGGTATCAGTTACTTCCTACCCTTGTTCATTTCCACATCAAAGTCTTGGTACTGAAATGTACTTTTTCAAATTTAAATCCAAAATTGTAATTTAATGCAGAGCAATTATAAGTAACAGATGCTGGAAGGTTTGCACTTTTTTGCTTCCACAAGAAATATACACATTGGATCCAAATTTTTGGATATGATATCCAAACTAAGTTAGGGGCTGGGAACAAGAGATTGCTAAATTTAAACCCAAGTATATTAGCTTTAGAGCTGGAAAGTGTGGGGAAATTGGGAAACCAGACACATAAAAACCACTCTATTTGACGGACAGCCCCACTCGATCAGCGCATTGGACTCCAAAAGTAAGGCAAGGGGGGCAGCAGGCTAGAGGCATAAACTTCGGAGCTGAAGTGAAATGGATTCAAAACGCAGGTGTCACTCACTGTATGATCTTGGCCAGGGTAATTTAGCCTTTAAGATTTTTTCCCCAGCTACGAAATAAGAATGATGTCACCTACCTTATTGAGTTGCAACAATTTGGTAAGTCAGTGACTAGAAAGTGCTCAGCCCCATGCCTGACGCGTCCTAAGAGTTCTGCAAAGGACTTAATACCCCCAAGACTTTCTCTCAGTTTCTGAACACCTTATTTTGTTTTTGTGATCCGGCCAACCCAGTTCCATATTCACCAATCCACTGTGAAGTGCTCATTGAGTTCTAAGTGCCCCCCACCACCCATACCAGGAATGAAAGGGAAGAATAAGACGCTCAGGAAACATCCAGCCTCCTGAAGGAAGTCTATTTTAAAACCTGTACCTACGAACCAGAGAACGCTACAAGGCCAGGAAGATCAAGGCAGTCAGACCACTAAGTGCCGCTGGAGCTTGTGCCTGGAAGCGTTTGGGTGGAGTGGGAGACAGAATGGCCTCAAACGGTCACAGTGGAAGTCAGTCACGTGTACAGCAATGCAGACGCGCCGACGGTGACCAGCTGCTTCACTGGCCGCCTTGCCAGACCACAGAGCAGGGCTCCATCCTCACGGAGAGCAGCTTCCCAGGCACGGAGGGTGGTGGTGGGGACTCAGCCCGGCTAAATCCCCTCAGGTTTTCTCCTGCGTGTGGCCTTGGGAGAGGGATGGTGGAAGTCTCCTCTCCTCTGAAGTACTTCATCACTACCTTTCCTGTGGCATCACTGTGCGGTGCCATTCACTGTTCCTACGCATGCCTCCCTGACCAGTGGCACGTCTCACGGGGGCAGGGAAGTGCTTTCTTCTCTTTGGCCCCCCCACAGCCAGGAGTCCTGGGCTCTCAGTAACTGTCTCCTCCATGACCAAATAACTAAAATAAATACATGAATGAATGGAATTCATAGGTGCTCGTGTATCTTATGTCAAAGAGCGGGACTGGTGGAAACAAGGTAAAATGAGAAGTAAGGAAATACGAACCAAAAACCAGCTCATGAGAAATGTGGACACCATGGCACAGGAATCTATTGCAATGAGATTGCTATCACATCCTTCATTCTTCATCTCCTCCATGGCTCTAGTTCCTGGCAATGAAGTTGTGGCAAGGAGCCAGGGAGGGTATTCTGGGTCTCATTGCTGTACAACAAGGTGCCCCAAAACTTAGTGGTTTAAAATAGCAGTGTCCTCTATCTCTCATGATTCTGGGGGCTGACTGGCCACAGCGGGGCATGTCATCTAGTGTGGGGGCTTTTGTGTGGCTGCAGCCGGAGGACAGCTGGGACGGGGGTCATCTGAGGGCTCACGGGACCTCTGAGACAGCCCCTTCACACAGGTGTCCATGCCTTCCTCCCCTGCCTCCCCACATGGTTTCTCACAGCCTGGTGGTCACAGGGGATCTCACAGTCTGCACAGATGCCAGCCTCTGAGAGGCTGAAAGTGGGGGCTACCAGGACGTGGAAGGGCTACGGAAATGCTGGGGTCACTTCCATCACATCCTACTGGTCAGAGCACTCCGTGGACCCAAGGGAGTAGAGAGATGGACTGCATCTTCTGATGAGGAGTGGCAAGCTCACATTTTAGAAGAACGTGCGGGACGAAGATATTCCTGCAGTCACATCTGGAAAATACAGCTGGCCACTGTCTATTGTCCTCACTAATGCTGCTAGCGTCACTCCTAAGAATCCCTGCATAGCCAAACTGAGGTGAGAAAATTTGGAAAACTCCTCAGAGCCCAGGTCCCACTGGCACAGGGTTTGATGGCTAAATGTCTGCATCCTGTTTCAAGGACGCAGATGTTCCTTGACACAAAGTCTTTCCCATGGGCTCTCAGTGCTCCTAACCAGCCCCTTCAGTAGTGGATGAAGCTCTTCTATGTACCTGAGACAAATGTGCCCTTTGTTCAAGGTGGATGCTGTAGGGGAGGAAACCTTTTTTCTTTTGCCCGTCTAGTTTCTTTGGTCTAGTAAATTGACATAAGACAGATGAACAGGAGAAAAACAAATTTCAGACGTGCAGGAGCCCCAAAGACCTGAGACCTGAGACAGGCAATCAAGGCCCAGATGCCACGAGCTAAAGAGAAGGGCATAGGGTTTGAGGCTTCGAAGGGGAGGAAGATCATTCACAGGAAGATGAAAAGAGCAAATGTTTGGTAGACAAATGTTTGCCGTGCCATGCAGATAACTCTTTATGATAAAAAGCTGCTTTGGCATTAGTTCTCTCCTGGTGCAGGCCCTGTATCACTAAATTCTTTCAAAGCAATTAAGTCCTTTACACGATTTTTATCTCATTCTCACATGACCTATGAGGCGGGTACTCACAGTAATAATATCAACAATAATAGCAAATAATCATGCAGCGCTTACTATGTGCCAGGCCCTAGAGCAGAAGGAAGGTAAACAGCTCCTCCCAAGTCTGTTGGGCCTTGATTGTCTTCAGCTCAAAATAATCCACATGCCAAAGTAGCATATCTGGGGTGGTGTATTCTGCTCCCCCTCAGTGCATAGCTTGGGAAGGCAGTGCAAGCTGCCCCAGCCTGTAGCCCCCTCTGGACACATCTTCAGGTGCTATGGCCTTCCTCCCAGCACAACGCTCTGCAGGTAGGAGACCTTCAGGGACAAGCGGATAACTGAGTGAATGAAGGAGCAAGAAATACCTGTGCTTTCTTTTCAACAGGGTGGCCTCTGGAGTAGATAGGGAAAAGCAACAGGGGCAACTGGATCGGAAGGAAGGATCCCCAAGGCACTCAGCTCCCACAGGGGCAGCTGAAATCTGTGCCCCACACATCTCCTTGAGGTGACAGTGAGGAGGAATGACAGCATTTGCAGCTGAACAGAATGCAGTTCAGTTACAGCCAGGAAACCGGAGCTGGTGGCAACCAGCTAATCTAGGAAAATAAAAGTAGAAAGGACTATGTTATTTATAACCTTAGTGAGGCAACAGGGCCAAAAAAATATTGTCTAAAGTATTACCAAAGAACATAATTTTTCAGATACATAGTTACTTTTTCAGAAACATAATTCACTAGGGTGATTTTAAAACACCCCCCTTTTCAGCCATAAATTACCATTTGTGAGTGTTTGACTTATCTGTCATCTTATTAAATCAGGTCTCCCTGCCCCCCCACTCCCCACCCAAGCTACAGCTATCAGTTTATGATTAAACTTTGGCAGGGTGTTAGCTCTGTCTTCATGGTGGCTCAGAAAACTAACCAGCTGCAAGTCGAAATTTTTAGATTGCATGTCTTTAAAATTCCTTTGCATATAAACAGAAAAATTAATTATATATATATATCTCAGTGCTCCCCCTGCTCCAGTTATCAAAAACTTGAGTGACTGTTCATTCAAAGTGCCACAGCAGCCTCCTTCAGGCTTTTCCACAGCCGATACGGTCTCCAGCCGCACCCTGCCACTAAGAATTACTTAAGCAGAAAAATGTGCTTTCCATAGAATCTATGGAATATCGGTTTGCATCAGGTGAAGCAAAACCAGAATCCTCCAAGCCTCATGGACTTGGAAATCCACCAAGTCACTTCAGTCCACCCACCTAGTCCTTCTAGGTACGTAAAAATGTAAATATTTTATTTTATAGTTTATATGGGGTGTTTTATAGAGCAGAGAAATCAGAACACCCCTAACCTGACACCGTAAACCCACCAGGCTCGAATATTGAGTGGCTGTATTCCTCTCGTTATTCCCCTTATCAGTGATTAAGGGCAGCTCCCACACGCATGAAAGCTTTCGACATTCCTCGCGGAAGATGCTGGAGAAAACTGGGTCGTTGGAGTGAGTGCGTGGAAGTGAAAAACAAGTTTGAGAGCCCTCCCTCTCCTAAACTTGTCAACTTCACCTCAAGGAGTTCACACAGAGTTGAGTGCAAGCGCCGCACATGCTAAGGGCACTGTGTTGTTGTTACCCTAATAAAAGCACCAGCTGAAATGCATTCCGTGCCAGGCGAGCTCTTTACCTGCTTTCCATCTCATTCATTCTCACACAGCCTATGTGGTAGGTGCTAACAGCAATAATATCTGCAAGAATAGACAAGAGTCCTGCAGCGCTTACCATGTGCCAGGCACTGTTCTAAGTGCTTCTTGTGTAATGCTTACAACAACCTGATAAGGCAGGTGTACTAAGTGTTGGGAAACTGAGGCACGGAGGGATAAAATAACTTGCTAAAATTTCCCATAGATAGTAAGTGATGGAGACTGACTCTGAAGTCAGTGCTCTTAACTGTTATTGTACCCATTTCACAGATCGGGAAAGTAAGGCACAGGGAGACAATGTGACCTATGTTCATCAACCTGGTAAGTGATCAAATGGGATTCCAGCCCAAGTATGCCAGCTCCAAAGCCCGAGTCTTGCTGGGATTGACAAACTTCCGGTTAGCTTCAGAGTGACTCACTGCGTTTTGCTCGCTGAGTACAACAGCTGCTGTTCACCTCAGTTCCGGCCACCCTGGCAGGACCAAGCACAACACCCTGAAAGAACAGCTTTAAGCAAGGGTGAGACAGAAAGATGCCCATGTTATGTGATTTTGAGAACACCTTCCTCCACATAAGGAGTCACTCTCTCGAATTTCAGCTTGGTCTCTGGCAGATGTAAAACATCACGCTGCATCAATAACCCCTATCTCAAAAGCCTTTACCAGACTTTTCCTCAGAGAGGGAAGAGACAATTAAGGCTTTCGAGGAGGGAGGAGGAGAACAGAAGGGGGCCTCAGACCTACCAGGTATCCCAGCCTGAGGCTGAGCTGTGTCCACCTCTGGGATTCCCGTATATCTAAACATATTTAGTGAGCTGGTGGGGCTGGGCTGCCAGCAGGACATTTGCATAAGGGACTGAGAAGCCTTCTGGGAGGGCTCTCACCCTAACTGGGAAGGGGGTCAGCAGAGAAGCTTGGACCAGTGACAAAGCCTTAGTCACTGGGAAACAGATGCAGTTCTGAGTGAAGTACTGGGGCTTCTGTCCCTTACATTTGTCTCCACTTTGTACCTCAGAGAAGTGGTTGTGCAGAGAAATTAGGAACAGCTTTATGTAAACGGTGGCCAGACAAGTACTGAATTCTACTCACTGAAGATGGCAATTTGGATCTCTGGAGACCCCAGTTCATCAGTCCTGTTATTGGGCAAGAGACAGCCCAGCCTGGCAGTTACGGTGGGTGGGATTGAGAGGAGGTGGCAAGAACTGATGTGTCCCATGACACGGCAGCCCTGTCCTGGGGAAGCAAGCACCCAGTACAGGGAACTGGGGTGGAGTAATGAGAGCCAACAAAACTCATTTGTGAGGTGTTTTCCACATCGCCCAGCCCATTAGAAGAGGTCTGTGTGTGCCACAGTCTGTTGGACACAGGTAAGAAGCCAAAGAAAAGTACCACAGGGAATTCTCACCCCGCCATTGCCCAACTCTTAATTGAGACCCAGGACTGATTCCAATCTTCCAATTATGCATTCATTCATTCCTTCATTCAACAAGTACTTATTAAGCACCTATTATATGCCTGACACAGACAAAGAGGGTTCAGCTATTTACAAGATGGCCATGTCTCCAAATACATCCCTCCATGCTTCTTCTTGCTCCCTAGCTTTTAGCCATATTAGCTTTCCTTCAACTCCTTCCTTCACTCAGGCTCACTGGTATAAGATCAGTGATTGGATTGGTCAAAATTTCAGAACAAGGCAGCCTGTCCCTAATATTCCTGGCAGCAACAATGTTCCTGGCTTTCATTTCTTCATAGAGCTGGGTTCGTTGGCAAGCACTTCTATCAGGTAGGGTGAGAAGACTTCTTAGTCAGATGCCTCCCTCCCTCCCCTCCCCCAGCTGCCTGTCTTGTTTCTTTCTTTCAAACTAAGTTCCAGGAAGCAGCTCTCTTGTGTGAGAACTCACAGTCATAAGAGATTCATCCGGTGTTCAGTTCAGCCAATAGTTATTTGTCCTTGAGCCATGTGGACTAGATTATCCAATTTTGGTCAGATTTGAGAAGCAAAGCATAGAGATAACCAATAATACTATGGAACAAACTGAAACTAAGTGGTTGAATAAAATGATGCATGGCCAAGCACCAGCACATGGCCTGGCACATTTTCAACATGCTCGTCTGTACTTCAAATGTCAGCATACCCAACTCTGTTGCAGCCTCACCTCTTTGTCTACACTCTTTTCATTGGTGATCTCATCTAGGTCTGTGCTCTAAATGACCCCAATATCTTCATGCCTCCCATATTTACTGTCTAGCCCTGACCTCCCCTCTGAGCTAGACAGCCATATATGGAATTGCCTACCTGACGAGATCTTGGCTTGTATCTCTTGCAAGCAACCCCAACCTCTGCATTTCCAAAAGAAAGCTCATGATTTCCTGCTCTGCTTCCAAAATATGCCCCTCCTCCATCCCAGTAAAAGGAAGTATCATCCATCCAAAAACCTAAGAGACATCCCCAATCACTCCCTTTCTCTCCCCGTCCCTGCCCTTTCCATACACACATCCAATTTGTCACCTAGACTCATAGGCATGTTCTCCAAAATATGTCAAGAGTTGGATAATTTATATCCACCTCTCTGGTTACTCTTCTTTCCAGACCACCATTATCTTTTCCCTGGACTACGATAAACTAGCAGAATGGGAATCCCTGCTCCCATTCTTGCCTTCCCGTGATCCACTCTCCACAGAGCAGCCAGAGTAATATTTTAAAACAAAACTCAGATCATCTTACTCCCCTGTGTAAAAAATCCCAATGGCTTCCCACTGCACTTGAAATACAGTTCAGACTCCTCGTTCTGCCTCTGAGTCATCTAAGCTCCTACACTGACCAGCTGCCTGCTTCTCTCTCCTAACCACTCCCCTACTTTCTCAGTAGCCCTAGCCTCTGTAGCTACTTGGTCTCTTTTCTGTCCCTCCAACACCCCAGGCTCTGGCTTTTTGCACTTGCTGTCTCCTCTGCCTGGAATACTGATACCAAATCTCTTCAGCTGCTCAAGTAATTGACTCTTTTTCAGCCATCAGGCCTTGACCGAAATGTTGCTTGCTCAGGGAGGCCTTCCCTGGTCACCCTAGTCAAAATGACATCCCAGGTCACCCTCCATCACATCATTAGATTCATTTCTTTCACAGAACATAATCATAATCTGACATGTTGTGGTTTATGTCTCAATTCATGACTGATTGGCTCTCCTCCCCAATATAGAATGAAACCTCGGGAAGGCAGGAGCCATACCTGTCTTCATTGCTCCATCCCCAAGGTCTAGAACAGTGCTTGGGGTATAGTAGAATCTCAATAAATATTGTTAAATAAATGCATAAATTAATCTACAAATGTTCTCAATAATTTTCACTTTATTATTAAAATGAACTAAGTGCAAAATAGAAATGTAAGCAACTCTGGGTAAAAGAGTAAAATCTGAGAGTACACAGGGCTCCAAACTGCCTGTCTTTGGTTACCACACCAAATACACATTTGCAACATAAAGAGCGCTCACCTACTAGATTTCACGAAGAGGTAACTATTTATAAGCAGAGACAGGTTAGTAGGCATCCTCTAGAGAAACTTAGCTCAGATCTAAGCCGACTCTAGAGGGCTATTTGAGGGTGTCAGTGTTGACAGAGTTAGGATACGGGTGTATTAGCTCCCTATCATTGCTGTAGTAAATTACCACACATTTAGTGCCTTTAAACCAACACAAATTTATTACCTCACAGTTCTGGAGGTCAAAAGTTTGGAGATGAGTCTTATGGGTTAAAATCAAGATGGCAACAGGGCTGCATTTTTTTGGAGTCTCCAGGGAGAATCCATTTCCTTGCCTGTGTCTATTCCTCCTTCTTCAAAGAACACCACTCTGATCTCTTGTTTCCATCATCCCATTTCTTCTCTCTGACTTTGACCCTCTAGCTTACCTC